ACTACTCGAACAACGATAAGACACCTGGCAATGCAAGACTTTCAAAGCTACCGTTGCATATAGCAGCAACGTCGTCGAAACAAGAAGAAGTACCAAGGCCGCTAATCACATCGTGGTGTTTACAGTGAACTTTTTTATAAGCCGGTTTACATGAGTGGGAACTAGAAAGAAACAAGAAGCACAGCAGGTGTAACAAAGCAACTCTTCAGGAATATGAAGAGCGGTAATAAAACCAGGGGAAACATGAGCAATTCGTCCTAAACATCGACGGATCTTCACGTCTTGAGCATCGTCACAGCATACACCAGGGCTGGCAGTGAGATCAGACACCTTGTCCAGAGCGCTTACGAAACCACTGTGCTGGAAAACACCTTGTTTGAACGGAGTTTCACGAAGAAGACCTGAAGAACAACAACGACGAGGACTAAGACAAAGAAACAAGAGTCCAGGGCTATGAGAACAGCAGTGAATTCAGCTGCGATGTGAGATACGTGTCGTAAACACCGATGAATCATATGACCTTAGAGGAAGCTGTGAGATGTAGAAGGCTCGCCAATATACCAGATCGGTGCCAAGGTCATTAATAAAACTACTATGGGTAAAGACACCAGCTACGAGCCGGTTTACCGTACTAAGACCTACAAAGTATCAATAACAACAACAACGGAATCAGAGAAACAAGCTACTAGACGTATGATAACCGACAGTGAAACCAGCAAGAATATGAGGAACGCTTCCTAAACCCGATGGATCTCAAGACCTTGAAGGTAACCACGGCATGTAAACGGAACGTGAATAAAGCCTGGAATCGTACACAAGTCGCTGTTTAAACTGCCGCTCTCACGTTGATCTTCCTTCTGCAACCACTTCCTAGAGATACTGAGTAACAAAGTTCGAAGATTATTGGGGCTGTGAGCGAAGCTACCAAGGGTATGAACTGTTGGCATGAAACTCGAAGAAATAGGACCAACGTGCCTGAAAGCGCTATGAACATCAACAGGTTGAAAAAAGGCGTCATGTATAATGAAAGCTCTAATGAAAGCAGCAATGATGCCAGGAGATTTTGAAACTATAGTGCTCCGAATGACCTGCTGCAAGCCAGATCACGTTATTCAAAATTACACAGAAACTTTCAAGTCAGCTGGAACCACGAAACAAGTTCATCACAAGTATCAGGAGTCGTAGTGGAACTGCTGGGAATAAGACAAACGCGTCTCAAAGCGTAATAGATTTCATGACCTTGAAAGCAACTACGAAATATAGTGGGGGTGGTGATTGAAACCTGTAGCGGTATCGAGGTCACTAGTGAAACTGTTTTGCTTACAGCAAACTTATTTGAACCGCCATGGGCTGGTGGGATCTAACACTAAACTTTAAAGACCATTGAGACCACGAAGCAGGCTACTAAATGTATCAGGACCGGAGATGAAACAACCGGGATTATGAGGAATGAGTGGCAAACTGCAACGGATTCAAGGGCACTGAAGACATTCGCAACACCTAGTGAGACAACCAATGAAACCAGTAGTGATATCTAGGTCGCTGCTGAAACTACTTTGCTTTCAGTGAGCTACTTTCATCTGACGTGTGATAGCAGGAGTTACAATGAAACAACTAAGACTACTGTGACCATCAACGAAGCTATCAGCTGTATGAGGACCGACAGTGAAAATATCAGAATTATGAGAAACGCCCCTAACCGTCAACAAGTCTCACCGCCTTGAAAATAAGCGAGATATGTAGCTGTGATGCCTATGAGCCAAGCAATAGCAACCAAGTCGCTGTTAAGACTACAATGCTTAC